TTTTTTTTTTTTGAGACAGGATCTCATTAAGTTGTTGAGAATCTCTCTAAGTTGCTGAGGCTGACCTCAAACTTGTGATCCTCCTGTCAGCCTCCTGAGTTTCTGGGATTACAAGCACTCATCACTGCACCCAGTACAAAGATAGAAATTTGAGTGGCAACATCCATAAGATAAAAACAGATTGATATCCAGAGAACCATGATTTTGTCTGGGCTGGGGCCTAAGACAAATGCCTCAGAGAAAATTCATACTAGGAGTGGGAAAAGAGGCTAGTAAGGTCATGGGCACAGCCCTCAGCAACATCACCATCATTGTCATCCCCATTGCCATCCTAGATAATAGTTATATAGCATTTAATCTGTGTTCTGTACACTGTGATAGATACATCACACATATTTAATTCTCATAATTCATAATAATGTCATTATCTGCATTTTCCAGGTGAGGGAAGTGAGGTACAGTCAAATAACTTACCTAAGACCATCCAGTAAATTGAGAATTTGGTATTTGAACCCAGATAATCTGGCCCTAGTGTTCCTGCTGCTTCTTAGGTTGTCTCTCAAGGAATACTAACAGAGTGCCGCTAAGTAGATAGCCTATGGGCCACAAGCTAAGCTTTTGAGGCTCAGGAATAAGCTAGAAATAGAGCCACAGCTGCCAGATGAGGCCTTTGACTGAACAAAGCAAAGGGCTCCTTCCTCTTCTATCCCAACTGGGACAGTGGACACTTCTCTGCAGAGGCTTTGAGGATGAGTTCTCTGCAAAGACTTGGCACATTAGTTTGCAGAAGCAGCAGATCTAAGAGCTGGGTAGCATTCTCTTATGAAAAACCAGTCCCTTTGCCAGTGTACATTTGCCTAGAAAGTTCCCCAACTTTCTTATTGAGGCCAGGCTTCCTTGAGGAAATATTTCTGGGGTTGTTCCAACCTCAGCCAAGCAGAGAATCAAGACCCCAAAGTTTAACGTCAAAGAATCTAACGGGGAAAATTTTAGCTTATATGTTTAGGGCACATTTAACATTATTTTCAAAGGCCATAAACCAATATTATACTCAAGATACATCTCACT